TCTACATTACAGAGACGATCTGGTGACATTATCATTGAAACATTCCGATGGTTTGAGCAGAACTCGAAGTTTTTATCGTAAACAATCTGTCTCCACCATGTCTGTCAAGAAAGACTCACAGTGTCTGCAACTCATATATCAAGTGGTTAGTATATCCTTATAGCAAATTCATGGGCAGGGGGATTTGGGTTTCCACCCCCAATAAAAGACGTCAGCACCACCTCCCCCCCCCCCTCCCACCACCACCACCCTCGACATGTTTACATATTTAACCATGAAATTTAGCCAAAGCATTCTGAGTATTTTCTCGTGAGTTCACAAATCAATTAAATCGTTTCAAGAAATCGACACGCGCTAACAGTAGAAGTTCCGCTAATCGCTATTCGAAAAGCAGGAAATGTATGGTCAAGCAGATTTTTTAGGGTGGCGCTGGACTACGTTAGGGGGGAGGGGGGTGTTAGACACCGCTTAGGTGGGATCCGCCCCTGGCTGATGGAACTATTGTACCCAGTATAAATAAAGTTAATTTAGTTTCATCGTCATTTTGTTCTTTGCCAATTCTAGGATAACGTGTTGGACTGTATCCGTAAGACTCACATCTCGTTCATTCGCTGCATGCTACCTGTGCCTGGCGCAGGAAAATATGACCTCAATGATCCAGTATCTGCTGGGAAAGCTTCAAATATTGCCGCCAAAATGGACGTGCCGTTATTGAGAGATCAACTGAAGAGAGCTCAAGTACTGGACTCTGTTAGACTTCACAGACAAGGTAATGGATAATTCCAGCTATAAGACGAAATTTTGATCTAGTTAAGAAGAACATTGCCATAGCTGGGAAGAGCATCGTAAAGTGAGTAAAATTGCAAAGTTCTGTTGCGAATTGTTGTAAAATGAGGAAACTATAGCCCTGTGATGTTCTCAAATTTTGTATATATTTGCATTACGCGCGCGAAAAATAACCATTTTTGAGCCGAAAGTGGTTATTTTTACCGCGCGTAATACAAATATATACAAACTTCACAGGGCTATATTTTCTTCATTTTACAACATTTAGCAACCGACCTTAGTAGTTTTACTCATTCTAAGACGCTCTTTCTAGCTGTGATGTTGGAGTTCGTTCTTCTTGCTTTAATCAAAATTTAGTTTATAGCAGAAATTACCAATTGGACAGACTGTCGCTTTTATACTTTGCAACGTGATTAACTCTTGATTAAAAGTATATATACATTTAACTGTAGAAGAGTTTTGTTGATGGAAATTGCGAGTGTTATATTAGATCTAACCAGGAACAGTTGTGAAAAATGCAACTATAAGCCATCTGACAGGAATTGAACCTGTGGCTCTGTGATTCCGGTGCAGTGCTCTAACCAACTGAGCTACAGAAGCCAGCTGTCGAGCCCTAAACGCAAATAGAGCTTGACAACCGAACTCTCATACACTCTAATCAACTTTGAATATCCAGTCAACTCGCATCAATTCTGACGCAACTCTTGTTCTCGTTTGACCTGGGCATGAGAGTTGAGCAAATACTCATAGTAACTCTCTCTTTTCAACTTTCATCTTCGTTTGAGCAGAGCTTTAGCTGTGTATTAGCTCTTGGCTTCGTTTAAATTAAGTGCAGCAGATTTACAATTCAGTTCCACTATATTTTACTGTTATATTCTCAGGTTACCCGGAACACATGACATTTGGTGAATTTCAACACAGATTTAGTATCTTGGCTCCGCCGGAAAGTCGTCAATCTCAACCTGTCCTGGATGAAAAGAAGGTGGGTACCCTCTCAGCTTTACTTGGTGTAGCACCTCGCTGCCACACTGTTGCCAACCGCATCCCCTGCACCCCACCCCAAATCCTGCACCCCTCTACCTCTTCGCAAAGGCTGGAAGGGGCACGCACCCCATCCCTGTATTCCATATACTAATCTGCAATAAATATCCCTTAGGCGGCAGAGACTTTGCTAGATGTGTTGGATGTAGATGAAAGCAGTTACAAGATCGGTTTGTCCCAGGTAAGAATTTCTCCATTTTGTTGGTTGTTAAGGAGGCTCCCTACAGTTTCCAATATATGTCAGTGTTTTAAACTAAACCCTATTTAATTAACTTGAATCTAAAAAAAACTAACGGCAAACTTCGCAAGGCTATATTATCCGCATTTTACAACATTTCGCAACGAAACTTCGGAATATTACTAATTTTGTGATGCTCTTTCAAGCTGTGATGAAATTTTTGTCCAGGCATATCTAGATCAAAATTTCACTCATAAGAGGAAACGTCTATTACAGCATTCTTAACTGTTTTAGATTTTCTTGCGCGCTGGTACTCTGGCACAATTGGAAGATTCTCGAGATGAAACGATTACGGATAATCTGATTGAGCTACAGGCTTTCTGTCGTGGTTATCTCGCTAGAAAGAAACTGGCTAGACTTAAAGTAAGTTTTACATTGTCACCATCCTCACCACCAGCACACGCGAATACCATGTCTCCTTCTTTCTTACAGGTTCAACAAAAAGCGATGAGATGCATTCAAAGTAATGTACGACAATTTTTGCAAATCCGAGAATGGGAATGGTGGCGTCTTTATACCAAGGTAACTAAATAATAGTCTTTATAAGTGTGTTTTGGTTTATGAAATGTTGGAAAGTGTTCAATGATGTAACGATGAAGCAAATATCGTCATCGAGGGTGGGTAGTAGTGAAGTAGTTGTAGTTCGCTACTGTAGCGAACTACAATTTTCAAGTAGCCAGTAGTTTTTGACTACTTTTTCAAAACAGTAGCTGTAGTTATAGCGAACTACATTTTGCCTAAAAGTAGCCAAGTAGCTGACTACTTTTCAAACAGCGAATCGCTATTCGCTACTTTTTAAAATTGTTAGCAACTTGATAGAATAGCATGATATTGAGACACAGTTTGCTTAAAATCAATACTCAATAGTCAATCACTCCTGAACACTGTAGTTCTTACAAACATGTTGCTTTATGTTTACTGTTGCTACTCGTAAGTCGATTTGTTATAGGTTACAGCTACATTGTTTAAGCAGTAGCTGTAGTCAGTAGCGAACTATCTTTGTTCAAAAGTAGCAGTAGTTGTAGCTGACTACATATTTTTGAAGTAGCTGTAGTTATAGCGAACTACAAAAATTTTGTAGTCAACCCACCCTTGATCGTCATCATCAATCATGATTACCACCATCATCATCACGACCACCATCGTCACTACCATTATCACCATCATCATCACCATCATCATCACCATCATTATCATCATCACTTGTAGTCAACCCACCCTTGATCGTCATCATCAATCATGATTACCACCATCATCATCACGACCACCATCGTCACTACCATTATCACCATCATCATCACCATCATCATCACCATCATTATCATCATCACTACCATCATCACTACCATTATCACCATCATCATCACGACCACCTCATTTTCAGGTATTACATTTTATGTGCGTACCATTGAGGTCGCCTATAAAAAAATTGCGTCGGTATATTTCAGTTTATACGACAATCATGCAATGTTTTTGTTCCTAGATTGTGCCTCTTTTGGACATTCATCGCACGGAAGAAGAATTGAAAGCTAAAACAGTAGGTTTTGTGTTGTGTTACTGTACAGTATGTGCAATGTGCCTGGTCGAAATACTGCATCTATTGTCTGATAATATTTCATATTTCAATGTTTGAATTTTTGTCTCGTGAAGGATGAACTTGGTGCTTTGAAAGCGAAGATATCAAAACTTGAAAGTGAAAAAGTTTCATTACACGAAGACAACCAGCGTTTGGAACAGAAAGTAGGTTTCTGGGAATTTGAATTTTGAATAAAAACTTGAAGCTTTTAGAAACTATAAATTGATGTACAATTTTAATTTATATCCACGTAGGTGTCAGAGCTGTCAGGAATTCTGGAAGACGAACGAGACTCTGGTCATGGCAGGGCAGCGATCTTGCAAGAAGAACAAGTGTTAAGAATCAGTGCTGAAAAAGAAATAGAATCTTTGAAGGTAAGCCTCGCTATGTCATATGCGTATGGTGAGCAACCTAGCTTTGACATAGGTTTGCACGGTCGCGAATGTTGTAAATGGCTTGTGAAACGTCTTGATGAGAACATTCGTATTCTTCAACAATTTAAAATTAATGATATTTGGTGAGAAAATTGAACTTAAAGTTTATGTAAATCAGTATGATTTTGTATCAGATATACAAACTCCTTCACGCTCATGATTTCTTTTGTGTTTTCTTCATGAATTAATGAGTTTCACTATTTATATTTTATTTATGAGCACTACTTATATTTTATTATTTTTAAGGCTCAACTTGAGGAAGCGAAGAAGGCAGCACAAGTACGACCTGAGATGATACGTGCTGAAACTGTGACCACCACTGAAGCTGCGTTGGATCAAGCTGAACCCAGTGGGGATACACCAGGTACTAACTGAGGTCTGAGGGTAATCATGCAGGCAGGAATTATAATCTTATGATAAACATAGGTAGGATAGTGTGGAGAAGGAGGGGTAAAAAGGGTGGAAATGGGATCAGTGGTGGATCCAGCAAAGTTTGTTTTTTTTGGGGGGGGGGTGCTAACCAATGGCGAAACGAGCGCCGAAGACGCGAGATTTTTAGGGTGGTCCGGGGGAGTAAATTTTTTAAAATTTGGGTCTCTGAAATGGCATTTTCAGCATTCTGAGAAAACATTCTGGAAAATTTTTAGATTCTCAAAACATTTAAAAATTCAGAATATTTAATATTGGTTATTCCGCTATTGTCAACTAGTGATACGCAACTGAATTCCTTAACATAAGTTGGTTAGAATTAGGATAAACGTCATTTTTGCACCACCCCCCCCCATGCACCCCTGTTGACCAGATCCTGGGGGGTGCGCACCACCCCACCCCACCCCTAAATCCACCACTGAATGGGATTAGAGTAAAGGCTGGTTTACACTATCAAAGTTGTTTTTTTCTGTGTTGGTGTAATGTACTCAGATGAATATGATGCTTGTGATGTTACTCTGAGTGTATATCCACACCGGGCAAGTTCGTTTCCCACCGTGGTCAGGCATATTTTTCAAGCTTGCCCGGTGTGGATATACACTCAGAATAACATCACAAGCATCACTATCAAAATTTCTGTGATTACAGTAGGATTTTTGCATAAGGTCAATTCTAAGTTGTGAAGGATTTGTAAAAAATGTTTGAGAGAACTGATTTAGTGTTGAACACTGAGTCAGTTTCCTCAAACGAGTCTTACAAGTCCTTCAAAACTTATATTTTACTGATGCAACATTCCTACTGTAATCACAGAACTTTGACAGTGTAAACCAGCCTTTAAAAGAAGATGGGCAGAACTGGCTTGTTTATTTCGGGAAGGTTTGAATTTGGAAATGAGAAAGCTTTCGTGTGTGATATGATAAGATCATCGAAGTTGGGGCAGGATGAAAGAGTCTTCATTAAGTGTAGTTTAGTATACATATCCGTTTCTATTCTAAAAGTTTGTTTATGGTTATTTCTGCAGCAAGTCCAGGTAGAAAGATTTCAGTGAATGATCTTGATGAGGAATTATGTAAAATGAGCTCCGAGAAACGACAGGTTGAAAGAATGGTAAGACATACTGGTTATCATTTTCATTGTTCATCCCAAAGGAATAAAATTAATATACAAAAATATCGATGTAAACATGTAGAACCTAGGGCCGCTCGAATGCTCTCAAGAAGGGCAGATTTGCGAATCGCTTCTCGTCTCTCCCCGGCGCGTCTACTAGGCTGGGTTTATTTATACTAGATAGCTCTATCACTCTGTCAGTTCTAAAATTTTCTATGTACGGGAAGGGAAAAATTAGGGGGGGGGGCAGAAAAATTTTTCTCCACTTTTTTCGCAACTTATCCAAATTGGAATTTATACTTTCCAAAATTTTCGAAAGTAAAACTTTTTGGCCACATGTTTTTCAATTTGGGGGGGGGGGGGGCTGCGCCTTTCTCCCCCCACCTCTTACGCCAATGGAGCTATCTCCAATTATTCCAGTGTTACAAGTGTAAGGCGCATGCATTAACTGCTAGACTAAAATATCTCTCTGTATTCCAAGCTTTCAGACAAGGATGCCCACAACGATGAGTTAGTGCGTGAAATGAGCAACCTGAAACGTAAGATTGCCAGGACCTCTGGTGAAATGGCTGACATGAAGCTATTGCTCGAGAAATCTCAGTCCAGAAACGCTGAGCTCGAAAAGAAACAGCGACGGTTAGTATACACATACTTTGTAGTTATTTTTAATGGTCTGCGTACAAATTCGCTGCAAAACAGTAGGATAGGAGGATTTTGTAGCCTGTATTCATTTTGTCGTTACAAAATTAAAACTGGCATGAGCTGGGGAAAATGGTATAAAAACTGTTTACGACCTTCAGAGCTATTGGACGTCAATGGCCGCCATCTTGGCTTCATTTTTTTCATTGGCCTAATGACTGACGTTCTTACTCCAGATATATATAGAGCTCAGTGGACGATCAAAACAATAAACAATTATTGAATGAGGTCGAGTTCCTAGGATATGAGGAATTGTTATATAGTTAGTGTCAAAGTTCAATTTTTCTGTTTGCCGATTGGTCAAAACCGTGTCACGTGCCGGTCCGCAAAACGTCATGTTCGGCAACCGGTCCGCAATGAAACATTTATTGACCGGTGAATAATAAAACGGGTGCAATACGCATGCGTGTGTCAACCGCAAAGTTCCAAAGTTCATTTTTTAAACTTTTTACTAAACATTTACGGCGTTCCATTTATCCAGTTTTGGTTTCTACTTAAGTTCACTCCAATAACCGTTGAATTATTCATACTTTGACACTTCTATACTATATTACAAAACACTTCGCCTCGGGCAACAACGGCGGTCTCGGGTCCACAAAACACACTGTTTCCTTCGGTCTCAGTAAATAGTGATAATTATTAAGGCCGAGGTTTGTGTTATCTGTTACATATCACAAACCGAGGCCTTTAATAATTCTCATATCCTGCGAGAACTGAATTCAATAATTGTTTTATTATTTATTTATTATTATTTGTTTATTTTTAATTTTAGCTTCCTCAAGGTCAGCGAACCTTTCCTTTGAGGAAGCCATTTGTATTTTCCCGCTTTTGGTATAAGCCGCATAAATTAGCGTAACGTCATAGCGTGTTACCTAACGTGTTATATATGTTTTCAATATTCCACGGTGATGTCATATATGAGCACTGCATATATGAGCATTTACCAAGTGGATATGACGATTCATCAAAACTCTTGAATTATTTTCAATAAATAATAATGCTCATTATAATATACGATGACATTTTCATTTCCTTTCGCCTCTTTCAAGCACTGTAGTCCAATATCAGTAAATCCCTTAATCCTCATATTTATAATAGTCATGGTCACGGAACATGCATAGCGTGCGTGGGTAGCGATACCGGGTGTTGAAATATGCCAAATATTCGCCCAGTAATTCCTACAAATGCCGAGAGATTAAAAACTCGACATAAAGTCAAATATAACTGGTCGTGTTAGAGTACAGTTATTGTGTAAGAAGGTAAACAAAATATGGCAACTGTTAGTTGTGTTCTTGTTAGATTCGATGCGGATTTGGCGCGAGTACAAGAGGAGACGAAACTCGAGAGAAATCTGAAAGAGAAGGCAGTTCGGGAGAAAGATTTGAGTGTTTCTGAGCGAATACAACTTGAACAAGAAATAGAGGTAGGTTTGAGTATTGTGTGAACCCAAGGAGCTGTTCATATTGAGCCTGGCTGGCCCGGGATGATAACATCCAAATGACATTTCACGTTTAATAGACATCCAAAATGACTTTTTCTGTGTTGGTGTAATGTACTCAGATGAATATGATGCTTGCGATGTTACTGTGAGTGTGTATCCACACCGGTCGTAGGTTCGATTCCCACCGTGGCCAGGCATATTTTTCAAGCTTGCCCGGTGTGGATTTAAACTCTCAGAATAACATCGCAAGCATCCAAAATGACATTTCAAAGGTGAACTACTCGATCAGTAGTGGTAGCTTAGATTGATTCCAGTAATAGCATAAGGTTCATTCCTAAATCTTGAACAGTTTGTTCCAGTGACCAGTGTAGGTAGTGGCAAGAAGAAGAAAGCTTTGGATCGATAGGGATACAATCTCCTTGTATTCTTCAGGCAGTTATATCCCCATCAATCTAAAGCTGTCTAAAGTTCATTCAAACGATTGTCTATGATGGTCATGTAGGAAAAGATTTTCGTGACACGATTCATCCTGAACAGCCCCTCTCTCGTTGACAAGTAAATTACCTGACGTTAACTAGAGAAAATTGATAAAAGTAGTAAATTACCTGACGTTAACTAGAGAAAATTGGTAAAAGTTCGCCATGTTATTTAAAATAGTTAGTAACCTCTTATAAATTCGAGAAAATCGTTGGTCAGAATTTTTTCACTGTCGGGTTAAATTATCCTATGAATCGTTTCTCGAATTATACTTCATGGCGTATATGTTTGAAAAATGATGCGTAAAATTGTCGAAATTCAGTTCTCTATATCATCACACGGGTAAAAATTGTTGCCTTAAGCTTCAATATCATACGCCAGATTGAAAAATGACAGTCATATTATTATGTAGTATGTTTCATGAGCCGTGACGATGTTGACATCATTAATGCATGTGTATTAGTATGCTAAACAATATACTGTTTGAATAATAATGAGAGTAACTATTTGATATTATCATTTACTAATACTGTCACTACATACCTCGAATACTCTGCTGTAATAATATTCACATTGTAACAGCAGCTATTGTGACATTGTGTCAACAGTATTACAAACTGGGCAAGCTGAAACGTTTGCCTGACCATGGTGGGAATCAAACCCGCGACCTTTGGGATACTAGTCCAATGCTCTACCAACTGAGCTACGAGCTCAAGTCGGTTCGAGTTGATGATATTTCGGAGCTGAGTCTAGTTCCTTCGATATCAATGTATTCTAAGAAAGTATCATATCAGTATTATTTTATTAGGTTATTATATTCATGAATAGACACAATTTTATATGCAATTCATAAGCTGGGATTACTGGCTTACCAAACACTAGAAAAATATAGTAATGAAGCAGGGTTTGTCGTGCCTAACTGGTACTCAAATGACTATTACCGCGTACTTGAGCTGGTATAAACTTAAGACTAGACTTTCTAGTATTTGTAATTGCTTTTTTTATTCCATGTTATTTCGTAGCGTTATAAACAGAAGGTATCACAAGTAAGAAGCGAGAAGGAACGCTTGGAAAATGATTTAAGTGATCTTGGCAAGAACAAGGGTGATGCGAAGGTAAACATTTTCTCTTTCGTAGCGAGGTACCAATGTTGCTGTCACGTCCAAATCGTAGTGCTACCCTGCCCTCTCACCCACCCCAATGAAATTTCCTCCTCTCCAACACCAAAACCGTTTGAATTCGAGTGCCCCAACTAAGCTTCAAATACAGCATTTCTGAGTCTAAATCTAAAAATTAAATTGGAAATTCTTAAAAATCCCAAAAAGACAATGCTTGTTGTTGTTGGTTGTTGTTGCTGCTGCCAGTCCTTGCTGGGACGTTTAATATTTCCTTTTTCGTTGAGATATTTTATTTTTTGTTCAAGGCTGTTGAAATGGCGAGCAGTAAACGTCAACTTGAGAAGAGAATTGAAGAACTAGATGAAGAAGTAGATGAACAAGCTGAACAGATACAGTTGCTCGAACATGTATGTGAGACTTTACTCTACTAAAAAATATCAGGATTTTGGACACATACACTCGATATAAGTGAAATTTTTTTAAGTGAAATTTTGATCTAGACAAGTCTGGACAAAAATTTCATCACAGCTTAAAAGAGCATCACAAAATTAGTAATATTCCGAAGTTTCGTTGCGAAATGTTGTAAAATGCGGATAATATAGCCTTGCGAAGTTTGCCGTTTTTCAGTCATTTTGTATTACAAATGGGAAATTGATAATCAGTTTGATCATCTGAATATCTGATTATCAATTTCCCGTTTGTAATACAAAATGGCTGAAAAACGGCAAACTTCGCAAGGCTATATTATCCGCATTTTACAACATTTCGAAACGAAACTTCGGAATATTACT